GATGTCCTTGGCCGAGAAGGGGGTGCTCGTCACGGGGCTCGGGAACATCGCGGAGCCCGCGCGCGTGGGCAGGGGGATGAGGAGCGGAGCGGGGCCGGCACTGGCCGGGGGGGGGCACAGCAGCCCCCGAGGAGCCCCCGCTTGTGCGCGGCGCGCAGGTAGCAGCGGAGCATAAGGGAGGGGAAGGAGGGACTAGGCACTTTTTGGGGGACTTTAGCTTTCGATTGGCCAACATTGCAGTGATGGTGGGAGAGATGCAAAGTTGCGTGTCACCTAATATAGTAATACATGTCCAAAACATCCCCGTGCATTTAAAGGGGCGGTACTGTATTTATCCAGCTTTCCCCGCTGAGTTTTGTTGATCCGTTAAAAAAAAATACGGAATGGCCCAGTGTGTACAAAGCCACTATCTGATGCCATCTATCATACAGTCAGATTAAATAAACAGGCCGGGAGGAAACCGTCAGCCAAATATGTGCTGATTTCTTTTCTTTTTTTTCTTTCTTTTCTTTTCTTTTTTTTTTTCTTTTTTTTTTTCTTTTTTTCTTTTTAACGAAAAGGAGCGGAGGTTTCGTTTTTAGTGTTCTGCAATATCCGATCGCAGGAACCAGAAAACGGGAATTCTCGGCGGCGTGAAGCGCGTTCATGGGGAAATCGGTGCTTGGGGTTTAAACACCTAGTTTGATGCGGCGCCTGAAAAATCCTAATGGGAGAGGGGTCCCTACGGAGTCTCTACTTGGGTTTTGGGGCGGATGTTGGTGGGTTTGTTTGAAAACTTCACAAACAGAGATGCGGGAGCGGGGGGGACACGGGTGGCTGCGACACCCCCACGTTGGATTCGTCGCGAATAGAGGAGGTTGCTGCGAGCGCCGGGCGAGCCCCGGGCCGGGCCCCTCGCCGGCTCGCGGGGGCTCCTTCATTTAACACACTTGGAGTCGCTAAAATCAACTCGAGCAGCAACGTCCCGCGCTGAGGAGGGGCGTCGCGGCGCTTTCTGCCTTGGGGAGGGGACGCGGACAACAAAAAATACCCCTTGAGCGACTTCTGTGGTGCGGAGCGGCCGGCTGCGAAGGGCACGGGGGGAACGGACTGTCCCCCTGCGCGCCCCGCGGGGCCGATAGGAGATAAGGAGAGGGACAGGGCCCGGGGGGAGCCGCAGCGGAAAAGTCCTCCATGGATGCGGTGAGTTGGCGCCTCCTCGGCCGGGCTGCGGGGCGCTCGGAGCCCCCTCTGGCTGCGCTGCGGCCGGGGCGGCGCGCGCGGCATCCCTCCTCGGAGGAAAGAAACAAAAAATCCCGAGACGGGTGAAAACCCGGGTCCGCGCCGGGGCACGGGGCACCTGCCCCCCCGCTCCCCGCAGCCCCTCGGGACTCATCCCTCTAGATCGTGCCCCTCGTTGACACCCTTGTCCCCGAGGAGACTCGGGCTCCCTTCCGAGGTGCCGAGTTAGGGCACCTAACCGGCCGCAGCAGCACCTGAGCCTCTTAAAAACTGCCGCTGCCAACGCTGCGGGGTCCTGGGGGCTTCTCTGCTGGCGAATCGGAGCCGGATCTTGCGATGACAGTTGGAGCGATTAGTGTGTACGGGGCGGCCTGAAATATTGCGGTTTAATGAAGGGAGG